GAAGAAGAAGAAGAAGAACCTCCACTTTTTCCATGAGAGGGTGACTTTGTGCATAACAGTAAACAGTTAAATAAATAAATAAATAAAATACTTGATTAGGAAGTTGCAGACTGCTGCCATCTCTTGGTCATTTTCAAATATTACCAGCAGTCAGCGATAACACTGATTGGCCTAACACTACACCAGAGTTTCATTAATTAATAAGACTTTCTTTGGGATAAATGTAGTATTATAAAACTGTTTAATGTCAGTTTTTTTTTTTCCTGATTTACCATCTCCTTGCCTGTAGGATTAAGTCTTTTAACACTCCATTAACAGTCCATTTTCTTTATGGGATGTCCAAATATTAGGACATTGCTCATTAATAACCATCTGCTGTGTTAAACATCTCCAGAATGACACATGTAATACAACTAATAAAGCTTTCACAGATTCAAATATGCTGGTAAATTTGTAATTCGTACTTTTACTTTTGTTAACAATACTTCTACATTTTTGCTTTGCACTCTTGACTTTGTGATTGGTATGTGTAAACTTTAAAAATCAGTTTTTTACTTAAAAAAATATGTACCTGCAATTTTGTAATATATATATTGTAATATTTCTGAATTTTTATTTGTACTGTAAAATGTACTGTCATTCATACCTCCAATTTTATGATTTGTTCTTAAAAATTTGCTACTCTTACCATTTTTTTCTGAATGCTTAAACCTTAACCGTAATTTTATAGCACAATTTCTAAAACTATTAATAGTTAAAACAATAACCGCTCACAGAGTTTGAAAAACTAAAAAACAAACCAGCACTGCTTTGCTCTCAGTTTGGAATTTTGCAAAACACACTTTTCAAAACTGTAGGTTTAATCCTCTGCACAGCAGCTTTATGCATCCCTGTAAACACAACTCATTGTTTTACACTCAATTTCCAAATGATCAACATACTCCTAGGAAAACTATTAGCATATTTGGCTTCTATTTAGACAGTTTCGGCAACTGTCTGGCACACTGTCACATGTTAAAACAGTTTTAGATAATTAGTTCATGTTGCAATCAGCCTAAGCACTCCACAGGTGAGCTGTCTGTGTGGAGTTCAATGGAGGGAGCAAGAAGAGTGAGAATTAGAGGAGGCAGTAGGTGAAGGAGAAGGAAGAGGAGACCAGGTGCGTCACCATATATGGTAAGGTTAGTTTCCAGACCTGATTTTGTTTCCAGATCCCCCACTCTTCACTGCACTCAACCTCCCTCCGGCCATAACACAGACTGGGGCCTTATCAATACAGCCAGTGAGTAGTTGGGGGCCACCGATCTGGAAGGGCCCTAAGTTTGGATCTCATCCCTGAATTAAGGATTCTGTGGAGTCTGGCAACAGTGTTGTTTTAGACCAGATAATCCACAGACCATACAGTGGATTCCCTCCCAGTTAGCGGGTTGTAGTCTCTATTCCCTTCTACTTGCCTTCCAGGATAATTAAACCAGCAAAATTCCGCTGCTTGTTCAGCCCCTCAGCAGGTGCAGCAATGAGCTAGATTTTTAGTAAATATCTGCTTTCCTGCCAATTATGTCCAGCATTCTGACATCGTGCCTCTAAATATCGCAGACTGGGTTTAACCCTTTAAAGTCAAGTGTATCATATTTGATACCTGAGTTTTTGAAACCTCTGCATATCAGTGTGATGTTTTTGTTCATGAAACCCTGACTTACATAATCAGACACATGTAGTAGTGTAGAGAAAACATATAAAAGATTATATAAAAATGTGTAATGTATCAAAACTCATACAAATAAATGATGCAATTTAACGTTTACAAAATGTATATTTTATTTCATTGGTCAGAAAGTTCAAAGTTTATTTATATAGCGGCAATTAACAACACATGTCATCTCAATGCACTTTACAGTTCAAAAGATCATATAGTCAAATTGATTTAAAGTTTTCTATCTACGAAAAACCAGTTGATTTCATCGACTCATTGACTCAAATGCAATCCCTCACACTAAGCATGCTTGTGGCGACAGTGGAGAGGAAAAACTCTCTTTTAACAGGAAGAAACCTCCAGCAGAACCAGGCTCAGTGTGAGCGGCCATCTGCCGAGGCCGACTGGGGTTCAAGGATTCAGAAGCAGAGATACAAAAAGCAACTGTAAAATGCGGCCCCGTGCAGGAAACACACAGCCAGGCAGACGAGCTCGGATCCAGCTCCCATGTCAGAGGATGAAGACAGCGCATCCAGCCAGTCACAGTCAGAGAAACAGGACTGCACTGGAAAACAGGCCGATCTCCAGCATCGATAAACAACGGTGTTGATGGCAGCAGCACAGCTGATATTTCTCTTCAGGATGGAGTCACAGCCAAACAGGAACAGACGAGGCAAAGCTACTATATTAATAAAATAATAATTACTTTTCAGGAAAGGAATTTAATTTCACTATCAGACAAATATTGTACCGTAAATATCAACGCAGCTACGATACAATGAATAATATAGTCTTTTTATGTATTACTATGATTTTAAAAGTTTGACAAACAATAAATGACATAAAAGACACAGAGCAGTATTGAAAGCCATGTTTAATCAGCAAACTCAAACAGACTTGTCAAATGTTTTGAAGCATTTAAGTTTCAAGGGATTGTACAGCAGAAAACAGATACCCAAAAGGAAAAAAAACAAACACTGTGCAGTTATCAATCAGAAACGCATATCCTTGTCAAAATGAGAATTGCTTAACTGATTGTTGGTAATGGTAAGGCTATGGAAAACACTGGCCATCTTCAGAACATTAGCTGAATAAATCAGTTCTTTTTTTATTTCTCTGATCAGGAGGAATTCATCTTTAATCTTTGGACAACATTTATTATTTTAAAAAAATAGGTTTCTCTTAAAAGTAAAAATAATACGTTGTATACCTTTGAAAGAAATGAAGGTTAGTAGTATTCATGCTAATATATATATATAAAAAAATGCCGTTCTAAATAGAAATTCTCGTGTACTACGTTACTTGAACGCACCATGGAAGTGAAGCTCATGCCGTAAAGTGTAGCATAGAGGCGCAAGTGGCGTGGAAACATCTCGACGGGAAACTAGACTCGGTACTAGCGCTCCGTGCGGAGTTTTCCCTCTCTCTGCCTTCAGGGCTGACCTCTCCAATCCCCCCGGTGTTTATCTAGCTCTGGCGGCCTTGGCTGAAGAAGCAGAGAGGTAGCCGCCTGTCAGCGTCAGGTGGGCTCTCATTGTTGACGTGCTGTGTTTAATGACAGGTCTGTCATTAGCCTCATAGCAGCTACCAGCTTCAGCCAGCATACCTGCAGTTTTGATCCTGATGAATCCAGGCTGTTTGCTCCTGCAGCGTCATTCTGATGTTCACAAGCGATCATTTAACCCATTATCTGGCGCTTATTCTGTCTTCCAGCGTTAATCCGCGGCCTGGTGTTCTGTTGGACCTACCGACCAGAAGCGGGGTCTCCTGCAAGATGAGTGGAGATGAGCTGAACCCAGCAGCGGTGCCTCAGCAGGTGGAGGATCTACATGGAGATGGACGCTGGATGTCACAGGTCAGCTTCTGCATCACCTTCTATACACCAGGCAGTCATTGCCTCCAGGTTAGGAGGGACCCCCTCTCCTCCACTGTGTACCAAATACTTTCAATTGTGTGTTTTGCTACACTGTTCATGCAATTATGTGAAACTTAGAAATAAGTCATTCCATAAATCAGCAGGTAATCTGTCCTGGGATCCTGTAAAGCCTGAAAGCTTATTGTTTTCAGTGCAGCACTTAATCTATCCCCCCCCCAGCAGGTGTTTGAGAGGTTAATCCTCTGAAGCCAGTACTACTTAGACGGCCTGCTTTGCTTCCAGGCCTGGATCAGCCGGACCAGCTGATCCAGGCTGAGATGAGCTGCTGGGATTTAGACTAGAACTGATTCTTTTTACCTTCTGCTCTGGTTGATGAAAGCAGAGCCTCAATGTGTCAGTCTAAGAAAAAACTTAAGCTATGGAGCCTGGTGAAAATATTTCTTTTACTTATACTTGGATCATCTTCAAGCCACGTAAAGGAAGCAATTTATCAATTCCATGAATTGACCTAAAGTTGATTGTATCAATTTTCTTAAAAGCCCAAGTTTTCTTTTGTATCAAGATCTTTCATAACATGAAGGACTAAATGTTTTTCTTTCATATGTTGAGTTAATAATCATAGTTTAACAATTTATTGTTCCAGCTTTACTGACTGAATATACAAAAGCATGTTTTTCTTACACATTATTAAAATGACTTATAAGATCCCACAAAACGATAGAATAAAACGATCTGATTTCCAATGAACAGAGATGTAGAACTACCATTAACAGAGAGGGTATGTCGCTCTGACATACTGGCCCAATCCCAAGCCGACCCCTAAGCACTAACCCACCGTCTGCGCGTTCCTGTGGAGGGTCCGCCACATTAAGGGCCGTCCCAAACCACATAGTGAGTAGGGCCAGTGGACCGTTTAGCGCTTAATTAGCGAGTCTGTATCATTGCAGACTCGCTGGAATTTGTCAACAGGTGTAAAGGTGAACTAATGGTGGAGGAAACGCGTTCCTCCAAATGTAAGTTCCTCTGCTTTGCTGTAACTTGATCACACTGAGAAAATCACACGTTAGGAAAAAGAAAAAACATAATTAAATCCAAAATGGGATGTCCTCTTAGAAATAGTTTTAAGAAATAGGCAAATGTTTAATGTTGTGTTAATCTGCGCAACAGAGCTACAGCCACGCATGTGAGGCGTCACTGTGTTGCCAGTAGCAACGACTGCTTTCCTTTTCCGTTGGAGGGACACAGCTCGTTTATAACCCCCTCCTTAAGCCAAGCCACCTTCCACAGCTGAGAGAGGGACTTGATAGTTAAGGGTTTGTGGTTATGGAGCAGTTTGGGATTCAGCCACTGTCAGGATTATTTGCCTCTTCATTTCAATGAAGTAGACGCTAACTGGGATGTAGCTCTCTGCTTTTATAGTGAAATCCATCATTAATGGGAGAGACTCTGTGCTCTTAGCAGAGCTTTTAAACAGACAGGTCTGATTCCTCTCAGAGGAAAGTTAGAATGTAAGCTCCATTAACTATTAACTCATAAAGAGTTTTGATGCTGAGGCTGTCAATAGTCACTGCTGCCACCCTCTGGTTTATTGGGGAGCTGCTTGCTCCACCAAATATCCCAATCTGACAATGTTAGAGAATGTTTTTAAAAAAACTCCTGTATCCAGATCATGATTTGGATCATCACCAAAATGTAACATTTGAGGGACACCTCAATAGAGATTTTATTAAAATCCATCCAAAACATTACAAGAGATCCTTTAGACAGACTCTCCTAAAAATATAACCTGCTCAGCGGAGGTAAGTATTGGATCAGAAGTGAAGACATGTGGATCATTGCCACCCTGGCCTGAATACAAAGCCGCCTCTGTTGCATAAAGCCACTGTGGCAGTGAACGTATTATGAACCATTTCAGACTCTCACCATGACTCTGCAGCTTTCATAAAAGTGTGTTCTGTCATTTCTGACCAAGGGGAGCGACGGCGTCACACGCTAGTCCACCTGCTAGAAGAAGCATTTGAATGCAAACCAGACCTGAAGAAGAAATTAAATCTTCGTTTAGTCCAGAGCACACAATGGGGAATCTTCTGGTGTGAAACCACCCTGAAAATGCATGCCGCACCTCTAAGATTTCCTCCAAAACGAGGCCTCTGAACCACCTGTCGCTTTCTTTCCACCTCACCTCAGGCATTTTCAGCTTTCTTCTTGGTGAATGAAATCTTTTAACAAAATGTAAAAAAACTCAACAGGCATGAATCCTTTTTCAGAGTATTATCGCCATGTGATTATTAGGCGAAGTGTCACATCTGTGCCTATAATAAAAACCTCTCCTGTGTGTCGGGTCTTTGGTTTTTCAGCATGTCAGGTTTGTGCAGGAGTGCAAAGATGGAGAACCAGAGGTTCTTTTTGTTGGCGACTCCATGGTGCAGCTAATGCAGCAGTATGAGGTGAGCCAAACCATTTCTATTGGATGCTTTTGTTCCCATATAGATAGATAGATAGATAGATAGATAGATAGATAGATAGATAGATAGATAG